AGATAAGCCCCATAACAAGTTCATTAAATTTATTTTACTTAAATTGGCACAAACCACAAGTGAAATAACTTTCACTTTGGAATGACTTTAAAATGATTTAACTTTACTGCAGCCACCACACTCATCTGTAAAGCAGTTTTTTCTCCAATACAAGATCCCTACAGGATTAAAACACTAGCAGGTTAGAGATAGTTTTTGGCACACAGGCTGAAGTCAGAATAATCAGTCATACCTCATGGGGGAGCAGAGGTGAATGGGTAGGAAGGTGGCTGCCAAAGCACTTGGAAGCAAATATTCTTAAAATAGTAAGGCTTTTCCAAATGCCTACTTAGTGAAATTAGACCCTCAGGAAAACCAGCTCAGTTGAACTGTATAAATAGCACAGGCCACTCCATGGAAAATGCATCCAATCTGCCTGATTTTTTTTTTTTTAAATGAAGAAACTTAATCCAAACATACTTAATAATTCCCATTGATTTCAATTAACTCTGAACCTTTCCTCTGGCTTGGTAAGCTCTTTAACCATGGCATTAATGCCAAAGGAAATTCTCCAGCTTCCTTTACACAGAAGTTACCTGGATAGGCCAAGTAAATATTTTGGTAAATGTTGGTCCTAAACCTCAAGTAGAGACAATTACTTTTGAAATTATGACTACTTTTCTTTTTTTAATCCTGTCTATTTTTCAGTTTTATAACAACAACACATTACTGACTGTGCTCATTGTTCTGTTCATCTGAATTTCTGTACGGGGTGGTTCTCAAGACCATACAAGATGACATGGTTGATTCCACTGAAGGTGCATATCTTCTTTCCCCTATCCCATAATTGCAACTAAACAAATAATATATAATAAAATATTGTCACAATTCAGTTAGTTGTCTCATAAATTTCTGTAAATATCTTGCAGTTTTACTCAAGTGAAAATTACTTAAATGTTATAAAAAAAATTTTTAAGTTAATTAACTATTAACATCTAAATTAGCTGTGTGTCACGTGGCACTTCAATTTGAAACACATTTAATTTTTTTTACCATGAGAAGAAGCAGCTGTGGGAACAACCTCCCCAGGGATGTAGTAGAGTCCCCATCACCGGAGGTTTTTAAGATGCAGCTGGTCAGGGTTCTAAATAACCTCACCTAGACTTCCTTTCACACAAAAAGTTGGACCAGATTCTCTTTGGAGGTTCCTTCAACCTGGGCTGTTATGTGATTCTATCACACACACTGATGTAATCTCAGTCTTCTGTTTGGAAGAGGTTAACTCTTCTAGGCAATTTTCCAGTAGGAAGCATCAAGAACTCATTTTGAAAAGGGGCTCACTGGTATTTCATTAAGTTCAGTTAACCACAACATCCTGTCATGAAATTAATTTATAAGACAAACTGCAAAAAGTGAGTATACGTGGGAAAACTGAAATGATACATATTCAGGTTTTGTCTGAATACACAAAACCATCACTTTAGTAATGCTTCAGATACAGAAGCAATCGTGTTTGGAGAAAGCCCTTATTGATCTCCTGCAGCTGATTCATAAATCTGTTGCTAGACTATTTATAAAAGGGAATCATGAAAAATTCTGTGTGGCAGTCAGTCGTATTTCTTCACACACGTTGCAAGTCCATATCCTTACTCTTTCCTTGCTATCTCTTCTTTCAGTAAAATCATCTTCTGGCCTTCAAAATTTTTCCTTTCTTGAGAGGTCCTCTGCTTTACATCAAGGATTTTGCCTTTAGTACAACCTTAACTTCAATTTTCAGAAATTTGCCTTATTACAACCATGAGATCATTACAAAACTGACTGCCTACAGCTCTGAAGGTAATGAGTGTATTTCTACGTACTTTCAGTATCTATTGAAAAAAGCTATTGCTGAGTGGACAGAAGCATTAACTTAATCAACAACACACAGTCTTTCCCCTCTCCAAAATAAATGGTTTTTATGTTGCTTACTGAGCTTGAAAACTTGAAAGCTAAGTGCTTCCTCTTGGACAGGCTGAGTGTCTGAAATAACTGCTTTTAACAGCCTTGGAGCATCATTAAACCTTTAACACGTTTCAGAAGCATTTGGTCTCCACGCCCCTTACGTAAAAATTTACTTAGAATTGGTAAATCGAACATTGCTAAGTAAAACAATGTCTTGTCATTTACTTGTACTTACTATTAAGTACTTTAATTAAGACTTTTGAAAATAAGTTAGCAAATTAATTAATTTACAACTGCAATAAAAAATCAGTAAGAAACCCATTAAATATCATAAATAAGTCAATACATTACTTAGGAAATGAACTCTATTTTTATTACTAGAAATTACCATCAACTATAAAATGCCACTGTACCAATTACTTCACATGTAGAAGGAACAAATTCTTAGTTGATGTTATTAAATTAATATATTACTTCTCTGCAATTTGTAAATTTATTTTTTTTGTGCTTTGGCTGCTGCACTTATTTAAATAGTAAGTTGTAAGAAACAAAATTAGGCAATCAATAGCTTAGGTTTTACACACTGACAAACACGATTTGCTTCACATTCAAGTCAGTAATTGAAACTCAATTGGCTGTAGGATGATGGGCAATGCTACCTGTTAGTTGTCCCAAGCCAAAACCTATAGAAGTACAGGCAGTCTTTCTATTGACTGTTGGGGCTTTCTGATCGGATTCTAACTCTATGGTTGAGAAAAACTGTAAGAGCTCTCCCTTTCTAATGGAAATTGGGAAATGTGAAGATATTCAAGCGACAAGTCACTGATTTTCTAATTTGCTGCAATGTTGACTGAAGAAAGGGAAATGTGGGGCACAATTAAGACACTGCAATGACAGACTTACCTTTCCACTCAACTATTTTTAATTAGATGGGATATGAATCTAGAATTTTTAAATCTAGAGTTTTTAAAAATTCAGAATTTGATCAGCATCTGAATCTATTTAAGTTTTTAATTTTAATTCCCCATTCAATCCCATATAGACTGTTATTTTTTTCAGTTCAAATGCAATAATTTTTTTCTATGCAAAATCTTTTCTACGATCAAAGAACTCAAAAAAAATGGAATTACCAATGGGCAAAAGCAGATTCCAACCTCAAGCTTCTACCTTCTTCAAGCCTTTGTTGTTCTTCACCCCGAGGGTGGTTGGGCACTGGAATAGGCTCCCCAGAGAAGTGGCCCCAGCACCAATCCTGACAGAGGTCAAGAAGCATTTGGACAACACTTTCAGGTACATGGTGTGACCCTTCAGGTGTCCTGTGCAGGGACAGGAGTTGGACTCAATGTTCTTGAGGAGTCCCTTCCAACCCAGCATTTTCTGTGATTCCGTGATTCTATACGTAACCCACATATGCCTATGGAAATGGGAGCCTAATTTCCTATGATTGTCTGTACATCTTAATTTATTTTTAAATTGCTTATATGGTCTTCAAAAGGCTTAGAAAAATGAGGCTGAAGGCATGTTACTGTTTCTCAGATGTTTCTTTCCCAAATTCACCCATGTTTTATGTGCTTCAGTGACGTTAAGGTATCCAAGTAGCTAAGCTGCCCAAAGGCTTCTAACAGCTGCAGAAAAATTAGATTTAGATTAATCTTTTCTTATTACTTTCTCTATTTTCTCCAAGCCTAGGGTGCCACCCTCGGCTGCTCATCACCACCTTTTTTTCTTGTAAAAGGACACAGTACCACATCTTCAGCCATGTGCAAAAGGCTTAGTGGTCTAAACCAACTGAAAAAAAAAGAACAAGTGCTTTTATTTTCCGGTGGTATTATTCATACACCATGTCCTCTAAACAGAGCAGAGGAGTAGCCATTTGCTACAAATCTGTAGACAAAATGGGAGATTTGTTCCTTCTTTTCCTCACAATGTGTCTTAATGGCCTCAGCACCTGACATCCATCATCGGCAGAGCAGTGCTTGGTGTGGATATGAGCTCGCAGTCTGTCACCTACGGTTCCCCTTCAAGTGCTCCCAAGAGAAGGGTTCATGTGCCCATAGTCTGTTGCAATGAATTCCCAAAGCACTGCAGATGTGGACGAGTTCTGTTTGTACACCAGCAGCAGAGCAGGTGTGTTCAGTCTGAACATGCCCTGTGCTTTCAGTACAATGTCAGGCTGTTCCTTTCCGGAGCCTCGAGAGCACCTTTACGTACAAACAGTGCAATAAATCCCTTAATACAACTGGTTTTCGTGGAGAGCAACATAAATGACCAAAATAATGTATGTTCTCCAGCACATTTCCCTGTCCTAGACAGGTTGAGAAGAAGGACAGGCAGTCCAAGTCAGCAGTACTCCAAATAAATAAAATGGACAAAAAGTAATGTGTTAAGAGCTATAAGCAGTAATATTCTTCACTGACATGCCACCTAAAGATTTCAGTATGATTCACAGGGTCCATAAAACTGGTAGAACTAATATGCAGCTGCTTCTGGCATGGAGCACTAAATTTACATACTTGGATTGATAACAGAGCTTGTATTTAAAAAAGTAACCCCCATTAAGGTTGTCCATTATTAAAACTCCACACATTACATTCAGCTATTAGGGGTTACTCAGCAATAACTGCTTTGGAATATTGCCAAAGAAAGCCATACTTTTTAGAATCAAGTTTTCCACAGTTGTTCAAAAAACAATCCTGAAATTCGTAACCATGAAAATAAAAACGATGGCTCGAAAGATGTCTGTCTAGGAAAACCCCTGATCTGTTCCACTTTCTGCTGCAGAAAAGCGAAGTTGTCAGGATAGGCAAGCCAGGATGAATACTCTGTTTCTCCTGAAATTAAATTTTCATAGAAATTCCGTCCAAATGGAAACATATCCCCCCCACCCCTAGCTCTGCCAGACTTTTTCTTAACTTCTCAAAGGAAAATTCTAAGGCTTTCTAAAAAAAAACAAAACAGCAAAACAAAACCCCCAAAGAAACCCAAAACTACCTTGGAAGGGACCCTACTTTATTTTTTATCCTCCTCTCCAAAAAGGCATCAAAAGATTATGAGCCAGAAGCAATCAAATACACTGTTACCTGAACTGCAGTTCTTCATCGCAAAGGAATCCACAGCTGCTACGCTCTTGTTCCCAGCAGTAATATACTCCAGTGAGATCCGAAACGGCTTCTCTAGGTGTCCAACTCTCCTTTGAAGTAACACCCATCTGGTCTCACCATACAGAGAGAGGAAAGAACAAAGGATAAGAGCCGTAAGAGAGGCTACTTTACAAGGACCAAACCCCCAAAGGAGTAGCTCCACATATGGCTACTTACACTGTGCCTCCTACCCCAGTCCTCACTTCCCTCATAGCGCCCCACGGTCAGGGCCTTTCCTTCCCATGGATTTTGCAAAAGCAAGCTTCTAAGCACCAAGATTTCCAGCCAGTTAAGATGTGGAAACCCAGCTAAACAGTAGCTTATTGTTGTGTTCTGTCACACTTCTGTGCACCCAGATTTCTCACAGATGCTTGCCTGTTGTTTAAAAGGCACCTAACTTTCTGTGCAAAGCAAGCTGTGAAATCTGCAGCACACATGCACATCCCCTCTAAATATCACTCCTGACTCTCACTGGCAAAGTCTCTTAGCCACTCAGGCAGTAAGACAGTCTCCAAGGGTGTACAAGAGCTGTAATTCTCAGCTGTGCAGCAGTGGTTGAGGCAACATGCTTTGCTTCTAATCCAGGTGGCTGGAAAGTCTACATATGCATGAAGCACTACAACTAAAACATGCCATTTCTCCTCCTCTTACTTCCTGCCTCCGTTTTCCTTCTTCCCTCTCTCCCAAACAACAGAAGTCCCAGCAAGTAAATCAAGAAACTGGATTAGCAGCTCTGGAGACTAACATCCACACTCAGAGAGTGTTTCCACTTAGTCTGCTTGTTGCCAAGAGTAAATGAGAACAAAAAGCCTATTTGAACTCAATTTATTCTCTGAGATGTTAGAAGCCATCAAGGCCTGGCTGTCTTTCATGTCCACCTTCTCCCCTCTGATCAGCTGGGTCTGCTCCTTTGCTTGAAATAACCTGCGCCAGACACCATAAGAACTATTCCTAGACCCTCCCACCACCTTCTAATTCCACTTCTGTATCCAGCAAGACAAGTCCAACGGTAGACAGTAAAAAATAAAAGTATCGATTTTTTCCCAAGTATACTGGAATTCTGATCTGCAAGGAAAACTTTTAGAAATTAACCACTTATAAGATAACATAGTCTAGTCCATTTTCCCTTTCGTCCTTAGGCACAAGGTTGCCAGTAAAACCACTTGATGTCATTTGTGAAGGGCTGCTTCCCAAGAGACACATATTACTTCAGCAGCAACATGGATCCTATCACCTGTTTCACTCCAGTTTATTCAGCGCCTGCTCACTGACCATAAACATGAACACAGACAAGAGATTCTGTAAAGTCACTCAGTCACTACTAATCCACTTTTTCACATTTCTATTCTGTTACAGGAAAAACACAGCAGCAAGGAAAAAGGATCTCCCTGTAGCATACTCTAAGTGGTCAGCTGGAGTCAAACAAGCCAACAGGAGTCTAACAAAGCCCATTAGGAAACACTCTTTACAGCTCCAGCCGCAACTTTCAAAAGATGAGAACAAAAACTTATTATGCTTCCTTAAGTTGTTTAGAAACACCATTATTAAGCATTTTTGAGGAAGACTGTAACTATTTCTGGTTGTCAGAAATTTTTCATTGCTTTTACACGACCTCCCACATTTTTTGTTACTCTTACAAAAATATTTCTCATCAAGAAGTCCCATCACCCCTCAGTGTATGTGTTTATGCTTGTCTGTGGTCTGTGAACACGAACAAGTTTTTCTTGGGGAAGGGAACCCACTGGAACTGATGTTCTGAGCAAAAGAAACTACACAGTTTATCTGGCATCCACAACAAGAATCTTCTGCTCCAAAAGTACGCCAAAATTAGGATGTTACAAACTTAAGAGGCACTTCTGAAAGGAAATCAAACAATGTGTATATGATGTTTGCACCAACCAACCATCCTTGTGCCTGCTACAAGCATGGATCAGTCCCAATACAAGCCCTACGCTGTGACCAGTTAGGAGACTTTTCTTTGTTCCAGAGGCAGACACACTGTTTATCTTGTCACGGACACGTTGTCATTCATTATGCTCCAATGAACTGGACAAAATTCCCAGCAGGCAAGGAAACTGCCAACAGGTATGTTAAGGACCCAGAGAAAACTTCTGAGCAAGGGCTGCATAAGGACCCTGCTGACAGCTACAGCAGTTCAACTTGCAACTCAGAAAAGCAAATGCTGCTTTTTAATGATTTACTAGATGTCTTTGTCCCTCCTTTTCCAGCAAGAAGAGTGGAAATAGAGTGCTAAATTTCCTTTTCTGTTTACAGTAATTTTCATTTCCACATCTCATCTTCCAACTTCTGTGCTTGAGGCTCTCACTTGAGGATGTTGGCATCCTCACTCTTTTTCTTTCTATCCCACTCCCCCAAGAGATAAATCTGCTTTTGCTGAAATTAAATAGAATAAAGCATTGAGAGTATTTTAAATGCCTAGCTTCTCTGCGTGTTACTTCTTTTGATGTCATCTCAAGTTAGGTATATTATAAGGATTAGAGGATACAAATTTCCCTACAAATAGAATCAAAACCCACCCTAGATTAATTTTGATTAGGAAACATAAAAGCATCTGTATGTCATGAAAATTGTTTTTCTCAGCTTCAGAAGACTGATGGATTTTAATTCCAAGAACGCAATGGCTCTCAACAATGATTTCCATTTCTGTGCTATCACTAACCCTCTGGATAAATGTGCCAGGAGTTTTAGGAATTGCTTTTCTGAGTTACTGGTGCAATAACTTTAGTCTGAGATTCTCAGGCCTCTCATAGTTTACCACAGAAACTTTATTAACTCCCAGAGCTGTTGCCAAGCAGGTATTTTATATCACCGCAATGCAAGACTGAAAAAGGCAGACTCACTCAAGCCCAGATTCATTACAAAATATATTCATACATCGTGGTACAAATTCCTACAATAAGTTGCCTGAGATTCAAAGATTCATGTGAAAAGAAATACCAAGTATCGGCCTCCTTCTTCAGAGACATGAAAATAAATGAGCTAAAGATGACATTAACTGGCGGATTTATCAGGAATACTAAAAATAGCTACTGGGTCAGCAGAGGCACCTGTGGCAAATTCAGATGGGAATTGATTCTGCCATCATTCTGTGGCAGAACAGGGACTGATCTCCAGACCTTTCTCTACAACACACTGTATTTCACAAACCCATACTCATTTGCAGATCCTGTACTACAGGCTGCCTGGCAGCAGCAAGATCCACTTCAGCATAACCAATATGTATTAGATGTTAATTAGTAGCAGCTTTATTAAATTTCTATCAGTGGCCTACATGTTAAGAATCTAATTTTCGAAAGCATTTTAGCAAGGTAACAGAAAAGTCAGTCATCTTTAGGGATAGATGGGGGAACACCACGTCTGGAACCTCTTCATACTAAAATCATGCTTAACTGATGACAAACTGATGCAAGTACAGACTGTAAGTGGACAGTGAGGTGAACGGTGCAGAGAAAACTGGCTGAACTGCCAGGCTCAGAGGATTATCATCAGTGGTACAAAGTCCAGCCAGAGGCCAATCACTAGGGGTACACCTCTAGGCCTATAATGTTTTCTGTCTTCATTAATGACCTGGAAAATGGGACCAACTGCACCGTCAACAAGCTTCTAGCAAGACTGGGAGAGGCAATTAATACACAGGACAGTTGGGGTGCCACTGAGAGGGGCCTTGACAGGCTGGAAATTTGGGCCAACAGGAACCTCATGAAATTCAACAAAAGGAAATGCAAAGTGCTGTCTCTGGGGAGGGAACAACCTCATGCACCAGCGCAGGCTGGAAAGTGGCTTTGCAGAAGTGGATCCTGGTGTATAAAATGTTGAGCATAAGTTAGCAGTGTGTCCCAGTGACAAGAAAGGCCAATAGCTTCCTGAGCTGCACTGGGAACTGCAGATCAAAGGGGTGATTCTTCTCTGTTCAGCACTGGAGAGACATCTGGAGCACTGGATCCACTGCTGGACTTCCCAGCACAACACAAACATGACTTACTGAAGTGAGTCCAGCAAACAGCCAGAGAGATGATTAAGGGACCAGAGCATCTGACCCAAGAGGAAACTGAGAAAATTGGGATTGCTTAGCCTGGAGAAGAGAAGGCTCAGGAAGGACCTTGTCAATGTTTATATGTTCTGGGAGTATGGACAGAAGACAGAATCAGACAGCAGTAGCCAACGAAAGCAAGCACAAAGCACATTTGCTTGAATTGAAAACCAAGAAATTGCATTTAAACACAAGGGAATACTTGCTTACTCTAAGGGTGACTGAACACTGGAATAGGTTGCCCAGAAATCTTATGGAGACTCTATCTCCAGACATTCAAAATGTGACTGGCTTTGGCTCTGGATAACTTGCTCTAGCTCACCCTGCATTGAGTAGGGAAGTTGGACTGCTCAATCTCAGAGGTTCCTTCCAACCTCAACCATTCTGCAATTTGTGAAATTTAGGTCCCAAAAGCAAATTGCAGCAGATAACAGATTGCTCCTGTTATCCTCTGCATAACCTCCAAGAACTCTAGAGGGGGATGAATCAGACCAGTAAGCTGACAACTGCAAGGACAAAGGCATCAGTTACTGTACACATCACTATCATCTCTGCACAGCCTTCAACACCACAGCCTATTTTTACCACAACATTGGCCATAATAGCCATGATGATCTCTCTGGATACTGCCTCAAGCAATAAAAAATACTGCAGTTTAACATTTTAAACTTCATGCTGTAAAGCAATGCACTGTATTATTTTGTTTAGGCACTGCCCAGCGTCTTGATATAGTGAGCTAGATTCACCCAACAGGTCTTTCACTGAAGCTACAGTAAGAAAGAAGCTGGATGAGATATCTAGAATCTGCAATATACATCAATTTAGACAGAAACTAACAACACTGTGGTCTTAAATAACAGCGTAACCAAAAATCCTAGATCCAAATATTTGCAGACTTTAAAGAAGATGTATTATCTAGAAAGAATTTGTTGCTTAAGGAAAGCCTGGGCAACACCCGGTGTTCCTCTTACAAGGCTCTTCTCCAAAACAGGAAATGCTGCTGACAGAACCTGAACA